CGGAGGACGCGGTAGAACCTTACTCTGGCCCGTTGCACTTCCTCTCCTCTTTGGTTCTCGTAGATGCGTCGTGTGACCCGCAGGTCGTCGTATGCGTCTTTGCACTCCTGATTCCACCATGGGCAGCTTCGGGCGCGGCGACCGCGGCTTACCCTACCACATGCCATGGCAGAGCTCTGGAGGATCTCTTGGAGCTGCCTGGCCATATCCTCGATCTGGGCGTGCGAGTCTATGTCGGTAGGCAGTGACTTCACTGCTTTACCTACATGATCTCCAAAGGCTTTGATCTCGTCTGGCATGGTCACTCTGACTTTTCCTGGCGTGACCTGGGCCTGTTCTCGGTTTGGGATCTCGATTCCGATGGTGTAGTGGAGAGATCCTGTCGTGAGGTGCACTTCCACCGTGGCAGACGCTTCGGGTATGTTTGAGAAGGCCAGGTCGATCGTGCTGCTTCTTGAGTTGCGTTTGGCCATAGTTGTTGCCTCATCTGGCTCATTGAGCAGGTGTAGGTCGTGCCTTTCCGTCCATTCATGAATGCGATGCCCAGCTTGCGAGGCTGGTCGGTCTGACTGCCAGGAGGTGTGGAAGGCATTCATGTCGCCGGCAACCACGCAGTTCCCTAGTGGAGTCCATCCTTCCAGGACTGAGAGGGTGTCCTTGACCTCTGGCCTGTTGTAGATGTTGAGAATCGTGACCCAGTTCACTTTTACCCACAGGAGGTCTCTGTGTCTTGTCGGTGTGATCTGTTCCGCTTGGATCTTGCGGTCGATATCGGCGTATGTCATCACGCGGGGGAGCGTGTCGTTGTCCTTCCAGGAATCGACCGGGCTAAAGCATAGAAAGCCCGGGTGATGCTGGGTGCGGCAAAGCTGTTTCTGTTTGTTGTAGGATGTGTTTGGTTCCTGCAAGATGACGACATTGAAGCCCTCCAGGAACGCAAGCTGGAGAGCCGCGCTGTGGGATTCCTGACCCTTGCCGACGTTCGCTTGGAATATTTTGATTGTCGCTGGCTGATGATGCGTGCCTGTTGTCCTAATCATCGCGTGTATTTGCGTGTATTTCTTCGTCGTTTCTTTGGCGATTCGTCCCGTTGGCGAGCTTCCGGCGGCGGGCTGCTTGGAGGCGAGCGGTCGCGGGATGTCCGGACTATTACCCATGGGAGGGTCGCTAGAGGGGTGTGTGTCGTCCGAGGGTATGATTTGTCGCATGGAGTAAGTGGTGAGAAATCTCTTCTTGACAGCTGTCGTATGCTGTGCTGGCCTACGCTGGGCGATGCCTCCTTGCTCGGTAGTGGACGTCTGGCCTGTGCTAGCCTGACTGGTGCCGTTCGCCTGTGGTTGTGGTTCCGGGGTTTGCGTTGTCGTGTTGTGTCCGGTGCTGATCTGTTGGCCGAGGGCGTTGGACATCTGCTGTGTTCCGGCATCGTGGCCGTCATCATCATGCCAGTTTTTTGTCCCGTTCTCCTTTCTCTCCAGTGCGCGAGCTTGCTCCTGCACTCATACTCAGGTTACTCACTTTGGCAGCTGCCATTCGTTTGAGGCCTCTGGGGTTACTCACTTCGCATTTGAGGCCCCAGGCCACAGAAGTGAATCACTTTGGCTACGGCCATTCGTTCGAGGCTTCGCGGGCTACTCAGGCCACTCCCTTTCGTGAAGCCTTTTTGATGTGAGAAAACAGGAGATGGCCAACTCCGTTCTTCACTTCTGCGGCGGTGGACGATGAGCTTCCATCTCCACGTGGTGCCCGCCGTGAACTCGCAGAGAAACAGTCCGATTCTCTGCGTGCCAAGAGAAGCTCGATGAACCCTCATCTCGCATGTCATTATAGATGATCGATGGATCAAGGCGCAGCCAAGAATGAAAGATATCGCACAAAAACTGCACTTCATTCACATAAGTGAACAGCCAGTGAATGCGTGCCCTGTTGCCCCGCCCCCACCATAGCCCAACTCCCGCTACCGGCTACAATAGAAGATGTTAGAGGAAACAGGACAGAATCAACGTAAGGTGCCTGCATATTGTGAGAAGGGAGGCTCGCTTCTGAACATTTCTGTACCGCCGAGCGAGGCGTTGTTTGTTCTCCGCAACCACATCCCCCGCTTGGTCTATTCATTTCTGACACTGGTCATGTAATCTGTTTTTGCATGTGTGGTACCCTGTGCGCGTGGCCTTCCATTCGGCAAGGATGTTGCTACTATGCTTCTGTCAACTTCTTGCACGTTTTCCCATTTGTCCACTCGTGTCTTTTCGGCACACTGGTGGCGTCAAGCCTTCTTAACCTCCATCGTACACTCTGTCAACTTCTGCCTCCGTGATCACGCAAGTCATACTGAGTGGTGCCTTCGTGCTTGGCCGGTCCACTTCCTCACTGGTGCCTTTCACTCATCCACTTGGCAACGTCCACTTTTTTCAAGGTAGGAGGGAAGTGTCGTTAGAACTGTGCCTAGTTCATCAAGTTCTGTTCATCCAGTTCTGTTCGTCCATCATCTCCTTGAGCGGTTGTCTTTTTTCGGCGCAAAAATCTTGGGATAGCCTCCATCTTAGGAGGGAGTGTCGTTAGTATTGTGCCTAAATCGTCAAGTTCTGCCCGTCAAGCTCCGTCAACTTTCGTCCGTCATCTTCTCCTCGACCTATGTCTTTTTTGGCGCAGCAAAAGGACGGACGGCCTTAACCTCACTAGCACTGCGCCTGGATCATCAAGTTCAGTCCATCTTCTCCCCCAACCCATGATAGACGGACCGCTAGTTGGAGGGGACTGTCGTTGGTATTGCGCCTATTCCGTCAATTTCTGCCCGTCAGGCTCTGTCCGGTCTTCTCCTCGAACCCTTGTCCTCTTCGGCGCAGCAAATTTCGAGCAGCCTCAACCCGATTCGTTCAGTAACGGCTCCGCCGCGGGCAAGGGTGATGATGCAACCGACGGCACATGCGACCCACCATGTGTCGGTTCCTCTCGTCTCTGTGATCTTTGAGAAGTTGCAAGTCAAACTTGCCAGAACTCTGGAAGAATATTTTCAAGTTGTGTTGACAAATACCTGTGTCCTCAAAAGCCTTGCAGCGATTGTGGCACCGTAGCAGCTCCGGTAAAGGTAATTGAGTCATCGTGGCCTTGTTGAGAAAAGCGGTACGACAGGCTGCTTCCCATTCTTCGAAAGGGGTGCTGTCCACGTCCATGGCTTCTGCCTCTTCGCATTCCATAAATCCCCCTTTTTTCTTCTTCATGGATATTGTTTTTTCCTTCACTAGCCATTCATAGAATGTAAATCTTTTCTCACTTCGCCGTAATAGCGCCTCTTCATCTTTGTCTCTCATCCATCTCGTCGCGATCGCCCTGAAATCTTCCCAGTACCATTTGCGAAGCTTCGCTTGCTCGGTGGACCAAGAGAAGCCGTAGCTCTTGTCAAAGATGTGTCTGCTTGTCCATGAATAGAATATTTTTCGCGCCATAAGCATTTTTGATTCGAATTCGCTTGCACCAAGACAGCTCATAGCCATCAGCAGCCATTCGTACTCGAGCCCACGCTGACCACCAGGGTTCAAGTGCTGTATTTTGTCGTAAACCTGTAGAACGTATACTCTTGTTTCAAGTCTCAGGTCTTCGAATTGGGAGTTGTCGAACTCGTAAAAGGGGAGCTCACGGCCGTAGGCACAGCCGCTTTTCTCAGGAACAGACATGTTTTTTTGAATATGTTTGGGGGTTTCGAGTGCCTCACTATCGGATCCAGTCAAGGGTTCGACTTGTGCCCTGCCAATTCAAAGAAGAAGGCGAATAGTGATGGATTGAAAATCGGTAATGAGGCTGGTAGAGGCCGCTGGCGGTGCTTTTATAGACTTGTCGCTCTCAGTCATAAAATTTTTTTGAGGAGCACGTGGAAGCAAAACACTCGAGCAAATCCCATCCCGCCGTTGTCAATACGACTGCAGCCGTCGCAATGAACACAGCTCGGGACGCCTCGCATGGCAACGGCGGCGAGTTGGTCCGTGTTCGACGCGAGCAGCCTGATCAATGACGCTTTGTGGCTTGCGAGAGCAATTGCATTGGCTTGTGACCGCAAGCCATGACATGACGCGCGCATCGTTTGTGGAACAGTTGAAGCTCACGTCGATCCCAGATCCATAAGCCATAGTGAGAAGTTCTTGAAACTCGTATCAATGTCTGAAGTCATGACTTGTCATGAGGTGCCTATTGCTTGTCTCTCGCATACCTGCTCGTCCGGTACCCACGATGCCAAGGCAGAGCGGTGACTCATTGCGCATTCGATGTGAATTATCTAGTAAATGACGTTTCGTGGCTTGTGAGCATCTTGTATCCTCGAGCCGTGAGACGAGGCACTGCATCAAGCTATGGCATCATGATTCAAACCTTCTTTTCGACTTGATCGGACTGTCAGCTGGATGAACAGCATTGTCTTTGCCCTTTCCTAAGTGTCCAAGTCTGGAAACGTAAACCACGGTGCGCAGCAGCAAGGCGCTCGTGGGTCGTGAATGCGGTTGCCTGCTGCCTTGAACTTTTGACACCGAGCACCGGTGAACGCAGCCATGGTGGAACACGGGCAGCCCTCAGACATCAATTTGGTAAAAGAATGAAGGCGTAAACAGAAAGAAAACGGGAAGCCCGCGAAGGTCTGGCGCGAAATCATATCCCGAGCTGTTCGAGGCAACACCGCGCATGAGCGACGGGTCAATGGTTTGGAAGGTCAACTCTTTACAGCCCAGCTTTGACAGAAGTGCGCAGATAGAGTCGGTGTGGTGCTGATTTGAAATAACAAATGAGGCCATGCAGCCTGCTGGGCACTACACATCGACGCCATGCCTTTTGTCTGAGCACCTGGCCCAGGGTGGCTATCAATTCAATTCCATCAATTTTGTATCATGATTGAGTTGTGTTGACGGATTACTCAGCACGTCGCCCGTGGAGTTGAACCACCTTGAGCCCAAATTGAGTTGATGGACGTTGAGTTGAAATGGTTGAATTAGGGCTCACGTGATAACGCTCTATGTAGGCTACTCCATGTCGTCCTCTCCCTCTACTATGATGCTATTCCCAACTTCTCCCGACACATCAACCAACGAATCTGCACTGTCGATCAACCCATTCCGCACCCAAGACCTTACCGTCTGCGTAATTCCTATTGTACTAGCTTCCAGCCGTGTTCGAAAAGGTGACACCATCTGCCCAGCAACACTAAAAAGTCGTTCACACTCTGCAGACATTGGCGGTATCGACAATACATCCAGAGCCATTCGAGACAGCCGAGGGTAGTCATCGCGCCTCTCCCACCAATATTGCACGGGGTCAGACACCAGGGGGTCATGCTTGAGGTCAGGACTCAATAGCCATTGGTCATACTCGTCGAGCTCTGCATCTAACGGACTTTTCCCGGGGCATGTCCCGCACGGCAATGTCGATGTCCTCAGAGCCCGGTGCCTCTCAAGCGCACTCATGGCTTTCAGCCGTTTGAACGGCGGATCTTCATCGCCCACCTCGCGCGTCGGCAAGGACTTGTACTCCTCCTCCCAAAGTTTGCGCACCATCCTTTTGGCCTCCGCTAGCCAGGGTCGTTGTGCTGTATCCATCCACGTATTCTCGAAGTATCCCCAGCGCGAGACGGGGTTTAGTATCGCCGCAGCGTAATAGACAGGCCTCTCGTCTAGCTTTGTATAATACTCATTTAATTTGCCCCAGCCTAGGTTGATGTTGACCTTGAAATGCTCCGGGTCTGGGTAGTTCTCTGCCGTTGCCTTCCACTCTTCTAGCCTTTCCATCAGGAATTCATACGTTGAGGCCACGTCCCACATGTTGCCGTACGCCTCGATATGACCTCCTCTCCGCGCCCGCTTTTGGCTATCCCCCTCCAGCATTCGGAGAGCCTCCTCGAAGTCAACAAGAACGCTGTCCATCAGCCGGATAACTTTCCAGTCGTTCTCGCCCAAAATGCTTTCCTCCCGAACACACAACGGCATTTCCTCTCGCCTGCTCAGGCCGCTACGCCGTTCCCTGCTGAACTCGAGCGTAGCCTTCTCAACGAGTTCGTCGAGGAACGGTCGCAACTTGAGGCCTCGTCGTATCATGTACAGCGTCGAAAGCCAGCGAGTGTGATTGTCCAGCACAACATCTAGTGGTTTCCTCGCTCGGTTCTCTGTGCTGCTGGAGCGCCGGAAAAAATCTTCCTGCAGAGCCCGGAGACGGTACGTGAGCTTGTCAGACCTGTGAATCCAATGAACCAGGTTGTGGAGCTTGCCGATAGGCCCTTTCTTACGCCAGGCTTCATGCTGAGCAGCGTCAAACCCTGGTTCCCCATCAACGTCAGCCTCGAAAGCCTCAGTCTTGTGCCCAAACAGCAGAGCATTGACCACCAGATTGAGCACGTGGCCGAAGCATCGTATCCTTCGTTTTGGCGGATCCAGACCCCGCGCCCCCCTAGCGATCTCCTCTGCTGCTGAGTCCATATTGGTAGCGTTGTCAAGCGTGATGTACCCCAATCTGTCAAGTATCTCGTAGCCCTCTAGAATCTCTAGAACCTGCGCCGCAATATTCTCGCCAGAGTGCGACATCTTCAGCTCCGGAAGACCAAGCACCAGTTTGCACGGTGCACCGTCATGATCAACGTAAAAGCAGACTATGCCGTAAAGAGCGTGCCGGTTCCTGGACCGCCAGCCATCGAACGCAATATGAATCTTCCCTGGGATGTTCCTCAGGTGGTCGATAATTTGTGCTTTGTGTCGACGATGTAGGTCGATGATTCTCTTGCGCACAGTACTGTGGGAAATATGCGCGTTTGTCACAGCGACGGATGGGTTCAGATATTCGAATGTACGCCGAAGACGACCGTGTTCAGGCTGACGGAAGGAGATATTGGCGTCGACCACCCACTCAAGAAGCAGCTTCTGAAAGTGGTCCCGGTCAAAGCGTCTGATAAGAGCATTGGCAATGGCTTGCTCTTTTGGGTCATGGGCATTGAGGCTGAGCATTGCCGCAATATTTCTCGATGGGGTCTTGTCTTTCCACCCCTTCTCCGTCGCAGGTGGCCTCCTCCCTGACTCGTCGACCAGCCGGTGCTCCTTGAATAGGTGTTTCTCGATATTCTGTGTGCCAACGGCAGAGAAACCCGAGGTCTTTGGTTTTGGCTTCTTAAGGCAGGGCCTGCACACCCATTTCCGAGTCAAGGGAGAGTCGCAAGATTGGATATCGAATCCATGCTTCCAAATCCACGAAGTCTGTCTGCCCGCGCGTTCAGAGATCGTGAACCCTGAAAATTTATTCCATGGGAAGATGCTCCAGTCGTCTGGCGAAGAATCTGAGCTCAAAAAGGGTTCAATTTGTGCATCGCAATCAGAAGTGCGCCGGCGTTTGATATGCACGTTGGCGTCCATTTTCGAGCGATGGGAAAGAGTATTGTGGTGGGAGACACGAACAAGACGCGTAGCTTGCTGAGGCGCGACGTGTACTGGGTACGGATACGAAGGGCAAAAGTGTGGGGGAAAGTGAGGTACCCACGACAAGCGTCAAGGCCTTACACTATACGAGCCTTCGACACTACCCTACATTAGACGGTGGTTTTCAACCGGTGGTCAATGTGGGAGCTATAGCGATGGAATTGAGTCCATCAACTTCAACAGCAAGTTGAATGGATTGAATTGATGCACGTGACTTCAATTTCCACAAAATGGAAGGCGTTGAGATGGAGGTTGAATTGATAGCCAGCCTGGATACAGATGGTACCCGAACGCCAACGATTGCGCGAGATTGTACTTCCAGTTCTGGAACTGAGCAGATAAGAACATTCCAGACATCTTCATTTAGTATACCGACGTGCTCACACAAGTGTCGGCGCTACCCCAACGCCCCATTTCAAAACCTGTCACCACAATCGTACTATATTTAAGGATGACAAGATTATCAACTCTGCTGTACAAGACTTCTGCAGCAAAGCATACAGTGCATCGGAGTCCGATAGTTACTTGTCTGGAGATTCCCGAGACCGCAGGCTGTCATTACTGATAACCCAGCAGCCAACTGGCCAGGATATTGATATTATACCGCATTTGGCAAGCAAGAACGAGAGCATTTCTCTATGTGTAGAAACGTTCATGTTGATATGGAACAGCTGTAAGTGAAGGGACCATGGAAATGTACGAGTGTTTCTGACCAGTCTAGATAAAAATAATACTCATGGCGGTCGTGGCGGTACTTCATCGGATGGGTACAGGGTTTTCGATATTGGTGGATGGTTGAATAGCACTTGAACCTTCACAATAATCGATTGCAAAATCTGGGCTCTGACGTAACCAGGAGTAACAATGAACAATGTAATGTAAACCTGGTTTAGAGCGGGTTGAAGTCGGAGCACCAAGGTGGTTTTGTGCGAATTCGCGAGCAGATTTCTTCAGTAGATTGCCAAGTTTCTTTTCGGCGACTTCTCACTCAGTCTGTACCGTTGGCAGTGTGCTACGTCCAATTCTATGTTTTCTATTCCTCAATCCTTTTTTTCTCGGTTTCATAAACACATCATCCCTTCAAGCATTCGTAATGGGGCGACAGGGAGTCATCAGGACAGGGTAGCTGGGTAGAAACTTTACTGGGCAACAAACACGGCGACATGCCGTGGGCTAAAGTGAACAAATGAGCAGAACAGAGATAAATGCAAGCCCAAACAAGCAATTAGACTGGAGAAAAGGCTACTGAAGAGCTAGAAATAGGAAGCTGGCAAGCCGCAATCGATCAATCAGCTATTCTAGAAAATATCGGCAGCAATGTACTGAATAGCCGGAGAAAGAACGAGCAACCGGATCATGAGAAAGCCAGCACCAGGTCGAGAACAAGACGCCAAACTATAAGAAAATACTGAAAAATCCAGCAAGCTTAGCCATTGCAGTTAATGCAGATTTGGACTGTGCGGTTGCTGTATAACTCTGGATATCAGGTGAGATAAATACTTCTGACATCACTCTAGCTAGTACTGTGTCGAACCGCGTTTTGCAAGTTGTGACGACGCATCGTCGAGGGGGAGAGGGGAGAACCTCACAAGGTGTCTCCGTGTTTGAGCCACGCTTTTGCAGAGCTTTCGTGTATCATAATGCGGGCATCCTACTATTCGTTACGATGATACAACCAGTTTCCTGAACTCATCAAAAACATGAAGACTTCATGGCGCACTCCGGCGCCAGAAAAGCTGTATGATGTGCTGCTATGCTTATGTATCTGTACCAGCCAGTTTCACAGTCGACAGCTTGCGGATCGTTGCCGCAAGCACTCTTTTTGCATTTATCTGGACAATCTTCCTTTCTAGCATCTTTCTCGTAGGGGTGGCCTAATCGCGCAATGCTGCTGCTGGGGAGGAATTACCCACTTAGCACTCGTCAAAATATATTTGAATAAACTATTTTGGCTGGAAGTCTAACTCCATCAAGACAACCTGGTTGTCTACATGTCTTTGCACAATCGCCCGCAGGTCTTGCCGCACTGTGGTCGTAGCGGAGACTAAATCTGTCAACACATATCCGTGGAAATGTAGACATTCGACTTGCCTGTAATTATCATGCTTCCCAAGACAGATGATTCTTCCTGCACTCGCTTGATCAGCTTGCCTTTGACTTCACTTTGAATGATAGAATGCCAATCAGGCAGCCCTTTGATGACTTCAGCACGACGGCTGATCCGCTTCTCCAATTTCACATGCTCTACATAGACAGAAATCTGAAGGATCTTCTCTTGTCAGCTGCTATTGACGACAGCTGGTAGCCCATCATCGATTGTTGCTTACATAGCCGTTGTCCAATGTGTCATCGTCCAGCGCGTTGTTCAGCAAACTCTCGATTGCAATGGCTAAATCTGCTTGTGTAAGTTATTTTGGCACCACTGATGGGCT